TGCACCGGACCATTCTGTTCACGTAGAACTTAAACCGCAGAGGGGACAGAACGCGGTTTTGGCGGAGACCCGTGCCCAATCTGAAAAGTTTCTAATTACCGCCGTTTTCTCTGACGCAGCACCAGCTATAAGCATGGTGATTGGATGACCCGTAGCAACCGGCCATCGATCCCATATGTTCACAGGCATATTGTTCCTAGGGATCCGATCATAGGCTTTCTCAAGGTAAACAAAGCACATATAAACCGGATGAGCGAACTCCAAGTTTATGATGTGACAGACAGTTTTAATCCAGGTGATAGGCGCGTATAATTCGACAAAATGAGCGAGTGAAAATGAAATAGTTATTTTGGGAACATTTGACTTACTAAGTTTATTTTTCGCCAGTGTTTTTAAGAAGGAAATGAGTGATATCTTGCACTCTGATGTCTTTCCTCAGTAGCAGTGGATCTTGTTCTGGTTTGCCCTTGTAAACGTTTTTTTCGGCTTTTTCATACGTTTGTTCATTCAACGAATGCAAAAACATTCTTTTTGAATGAAGCGTAATCTCGGAATTTCTTTCGGTTCATTCACGGCGAAAAGATGAATGAATGTTTCTTGTAAATCTTCTTGGCATTCCTATTGTTGCCTTGCAAGGAGTCTGAACAGCAGCTGTTTTAAGGAACCGCTTTTAGTAAATGCTTGTCCGTTACTAATTTCTTATCTGTGCGGAGTATATCGTATCTGCACGGGGTTTGTTTATTGAAATATTTTCACAAATATGTAGCTAGCCGGGGCAGCAGCTTTAAGAGGTTTTCAAAACGGTTCCGGCTTTTTGCCAAGCGAACTACTTCAATTGAATGGACTACAAGCTGCGACTGTGCGAAAGGTTCCTTGACTCGAGACAGCTTGCATCGCCCTCTGAGTGCCTTTAAATCGCCTGACATGCAGTTTGAACAATGTAGTCCATTTTGCGAGTATCTTCTAAAATGTTCATCATTTGTCGAAGCTGTCACAGTCATGTTCTGTCATGTGGAGAAGGAGTGTCTCAGATGTGCGACACGGCAGATTGCCATATTCTGATTCGTAGACCAGCGCACAACAACCCTTTGAAAAAATCTGATTTCTTTTCTTTCATTTACGGTTTATCTGTTGTTGACTTAGTTGTGAGGTGGGTCAAAACGAAGTATAGTCGTAAAGTGTATGCCTCAGAGAGTGTAATCGTATATCTCTCGTGACCTCATCAAAGCATCATGTCAGTATTGTTCACTGTACTTGCAACCGTTTCTGCACTAGTTACGCTGAAGCGTAGTGGCGTTGATTTCAAGGGAGTTAGCAGTTAATTAGGCGTTTGCCTGGTTTCGACGCGAATCCGGGACTTTGGAAGTGCAAGGCCAACCTGCCTGTCCAATTCGTCAGATCTCCGCTTTATACAGCGGATTACTATTAATTTTGTATGTGTTGATAAGTAAAATGGAATGTGAAAATGGTAGCTGTTCACTGAGTAGAAGACGAAGTTTTATATAATGAGTTAAATCTAATTTGATATCTGTTTCATCCTTATAATTTTTTGTTGCTGATACTTAGGCACTTCTGGATTCTAGAATTCGTGCGAATTAGAATACTGCACGGACTGATTTTACAGAACATGCTAAGCGCTTAAATTTGGAATGTTTGTCGAATGGTCTGTTTTTTATTCAAATCTGGTGAAGATACCGTTATTGAGCCCAGTATGTGCAAATGTGAAATGCATATCTTTCATACAGACTGCTTTCAGTACAAACACCAGCAGTTGTTATCGTGGATAACCAACACATATATACAACTTTTCCGTAACGAAGGTTTGCCAGACGAGAATCGAACCGTCAGTTATTACCAACTTCTAAACCGGATGAACTTTACTGTCCGTTCCGCTTACAGAAGTGTTTCGTCGTATTCATGGCATTTGAGCCAACGTTAGATGTAAGCGATCAACAATGCCATTAATTGCGCAATTTTTGATGCAATGCCGTCGGGATTTTGCCATTATAAGTTCTGAGACATGACAGTCAGACAGTATTTAAAATGGGCTTACACTAATCTGTATTTTAAATGAGACAATTCTTTTCGTTACTTGCGTTACATGATAATCTGTCGAGTACATGCCTTCATGTCGGAGACAGTTTTAAGCAACAAACAACTGGGAAAATTTCTCTACGCATCACCAGTTGTAAACTTTCCAAATGACTTGGCGCTATTGATTTAAGATTTATATAAAATGTTTATATAGATTATAAGCAAGGAAGTCGAAAATTTGAAGGCGAATCTCCAAAAACCGTTTCTGTCGATGTCTGAACGACGCGTCCAAACAACGGCGGCTAAAATTAAGCAAGTGTTCTGGATTGTTTCGCGTAGCCAAGACATACCCACCACCAAAGACAATTTACGAATATTATGGAATACAACACCCATTCTAAACGAGCAACTAATCCAAGATCCCATCATCCTTAAACTTAGTTTTGACCTTGCTTGAAAGATGTGACCCTCCGTTGATCACATAAAAATCAAACAGTATAAATGTGCGTACCATCTGCACATATGGAAATTTTTAGACTTTTTTAAATGCAGCTTTCGAGCCGGTAGTCAAATACAGAACCATTTTTTCTACCGAATATCCGCTTTGCAAACTAGATAATTGTTAACAAAGAATATGAAGCTGTCCTCCAGTGGCTGTCCAGCTGAACTTGAACGTTGAACTTTAATGATACACAGCTAAAAGTCATCGTTTCGTAGGATTTAACCGTAGTAGATGCTTGATATAAACGCATCTGAGATAATCATGATTAACATTGATTAACACAGTTTCAACGTTACGAGACCTAAATAACTTCAGTTTCTGTGTATGGGTATACGAGTTTATTTTGTCGTATTTTTTGGATACCCTGTTTTAATGGTTGCTTCTTTTTCTCAGAAGTTGTATCGTTAAGAGATTATATTTATTGTATATTATGCTTAATTTTTGAAACCTGTCAAAATTGTACATGCATTGCTACTTTCAATTTTAGATGAAGGTTCATTGGCTGGGGCCAAATTATTTGACTGAAGGAGTGTCCAGTAATGATATAGCTCGTACGAACGTTCCCAGCATACGCGTTTTGTATCGGTACGAAACGCTTGTCGACGAATATTGCACTATTTTTCGTGCCTGCAAGAAATGAAATGTCAAAACGTTTGCCTCTTGAATCTGCTGCGAACTTTTCTTTTTCAGTTTCACTAGATATTCTGAGAATAATGAAGTTCTGAATTGTCCGCTTCATTTAGCCTTGTAAAGCGTTAGCTGCTGACAGTCATGATATTTTAATGATGCATCCAGATGTTGCTTATGTTGAC